CTCACTGTCGATTTTCGGGGACTCAGGCGGCCCCTGTTACCATCTTGGGAACACGGCCCCCCTGTTTTTGCTATATTTTGCGGACGACCCTCGCGGGCCTCCGCTTTGTTTGCTTTGTTCTTGTTGTTCGCTATAGTTCGGACCCATGGCCACGAACGGGACAAAGAGACAAAAGAGAAGAAAAAAACCGCGAACACCCGCGCCAGCTATGGCCAACGCGTTGAAAATAGTTAAAGACAAGAAAGGCCGTAGATATTTTGTTCATTAACTAACAGAAATTAATTAGAATTGGTTCAAATTAGTTCGAATTAGTTCAAATTAGCTGACAGCTGAGTCGATAATTATTCCAAATTAGTTCAAATTAGCTGACAGCTGAGTCGATAATTATTCCAAATTAGTTCAAATTAGATGAAGCCGAGTCGATAACTATCCCAAATTAGTTCAAATTAGCTGACAGCTGAGTCGATAATTGTCCCAAATTAGTTCCAATCAGCTGACAGCTGAGTCGATAACTATCCCAAATTAGTTCAAATTAGCTGACAGCCAAGTCGATAGCTGTCCCAAATTAGTTAAAATTAGATCACGCTCGACACGCTAACTAGTTCAAAATCGCTCAAATTAGCTGACGGCTGACGCGATAACTAGCAAAATTATCTAAAACTAGCTGACACCAGACACAGAAATTAATGGAATTACCTAAAATTTGACGACAGCAGAAACGTCACCGCCCTCAAATTCGCGCAAACCAAGTGACTCAACTAATCAAATTTTCCCAAACTAACTGGCACCGGCTCCCGTGATTCTAAAACTTTTGCAATTTAGTGGCACCAACCTAAGCAAATTGCATCAAATTGGACGAAATGAGTTAGCTCCAGAACACAAGGGCGGAATGCCTTAGCGCGTTACTGGAGCCACGCCCCTCCGTTTCTTCGCCTCTCAATTGCTCAAGAACATGCAGCGAAACGACTAGGCAGCTTGAAAGTCCACGCATTTCCCAGAAAATTACGAACAACTTTGCGGGGGGTTGCTTCTCTCCCAGCTCTAGCGTAGTAGGAGCCTCTCACTGCCTTCCCTTCGAGTTTGAAGGGATTGGCCTCATTCTTTTTCCTATCCAACACATCTAGTTACTTAGCGCCTTTTTGATTAGCCCGAAGCCTTTTTTTTTACCGAAAATGGCACGCGAGCAGACGTTTGGGCTTGTCGCCTTTGCTCTTCACTCTCTCAGGTTTTTCTTCTGGCTCCTCGACTTCCTTGCACCGACTTTGATTTTGAAAACGGTGCGCCATGTCCGGTAGCTCTTTCCTCTCTTAGCGTGACGCGCTAAGTGCTTACAGTTGCACCCCAGTGATGTGGCTACTCCTGCGCAGTAAAAACTCAGTTGAATTCGAAAGCATGTTTTTGGTTCTTGGGAATGTCAAAGCCGTCCCGTCATATGAATCAGTTCAGTCAGCTCCTTAGGTACTAGCATGCTCATGCGTCTGATTCTGCTTCAGCCTAGAAATATAACCTGAGTCATCAGCTGGCAGTAGAAAACCACTCACATCATCTCGCATCCAGGCTGACCCTGCGACGCAGTAAATCCCTCCTCAATCTTAAAGGGATTGACCTTGCGGGGGTTTGGCATCTGCTCCTAAACTTAGAAGTAAGGTCTTGAGGTCTCTGCTTCCTGTTTGTTTTGCGTTTTTCCTTAGGACAAGCAAAACAAACAGCAGCGCGGACATCTTTGACCTACCCGTAATCAAAGCCCATCGCACAGTGAACCACTCCCAGATCGATAAACGAGGTGTCCAGCATCTCGTACTTTCCGCATTCCACATTTTGCTTCATCTGATCCAGAACGTTTTTCACTTTGGCGGTCTGCTCTTCGATGTCTTTCGTAGCCATTAAGGCGTTCGTGTTGTCCTTGAAGTGCTCAGCCAGACGTTTGCGGCAGCGATCCATATAGATTTTGTTGGTAGCACACTTCACCCTGGAGCCCACCAAAGAATTGTTAGAGGTTACGGAATTATATCACTCGGCAGAACATCCTTAATTTCTTTCCAACTAGGAAAAGGCTCAAAGATGGTAGCGCGTGATAGGATTTGGAAACCCTTAACAGCCAGCATCTCCGCTTTCGCTTGTTTCTTCTGCTCCTGGCTTGTTCCCGAAATCTTGTCCTTGTACTCTCCGGTATACAAGTTCAGAGGCTCGTGGTAGTCGACAAGCATATCCATGGTCTTGCCGACCAGAATTTTCCCCAATTTGACGGGGCACAGAGTCTGGATCTCTGCTTTCGTCGGTTCGTCTTCCTTCTGAAATGTAGTCGACGTTGCCATTTTGTTTTTGTTGATCTACTCCCGTAGCTTAAGTAAATTCATCCAAGGTCGATTACGAGTGATATTATTATAATACTGCCCAACGCGAGTAGTGTGCTAAGTGACGAAATGAGCCGTGGCCTCAAAGTTGTCAACTGTTGTCCCTGGTTTCAGATTGATCTTAATGCGCATAGAGAGTGAGAGCAACTGCAACAAGAAAAAGGAGAAGTAATCCGGGCGAAAATTCTTATGGTTCCTTTCTATTTAGAATTAATCCAAATTAGTTACAATTAGTCAAAATTAGTTACAATCAATCCAAATTAGTTACAATTAATCGAAACACTTCCAAAAGAGATAACATATCGCACACATTGAGAAATATTCTCGGTGGAAGTTTGCAGCACATGGTCGACGCATTTTCTTTCATTGTCATACCAGAGATGTCACAAAGGCTCAGCGCGTGAAGTTTCTCAAACATCACCGCTTTTGATTGCTTTCATGGCGGTGGATCTGCGCGACCTTCTGGCGCAGGTGAAGGCTTCAATCTGCCGAACAAACTGAAAGCCAAGGCTCTAAGCTTTTCTGGGTGCCTCTCTTCTGATGGTGAAGGATATCCCTGAGGCCTCACTGCCCAGGAGCGAGCGCAATCTTCTGCAATTTCGAACTTCATCAAATAAGTGGCGTGATTTTTTGAATCTTGTTTCTTCTTTTTTCGGTCTTAAACTTGAAACGTTTTGTGTTCGGTCTTAGATGCAGAATATTTTCGAAGCGTATGCTTAAAAATGTCTTGAACCCCATGAGATGACGACGCTCCCGTAAAAATGTCCCTGCGTGTGATTTCCTGCTCTATTTATGATACTATCAAATTTGTAAATTCACTAAAATTTGCAAACTCGTCTGAATTGCAGTAATTTCCTACCTATCACGTAGGCGCCCCCACGATTGATTATACGCTTTAAGTTTAACCATTCTGCATTTTCCCTATTTGTATCGCTGGCCACAGCTTCGCTTTTCTAAAAAAATCTGAAGCGTCTCAATAATGCTACTTGTTAGTAAACATTAAGCGACGCAGGAAAATTCTATATGTGATCTACTTGCGCGATCGTGCTGATTTGACTGAGTTAATGCGACAAAGATATAACCAAGCGTCTCATTAGTGATCACTCACTTACAGCATCTGCCTAATCAATGAGTTTAAAAATTTGTTTCGAAATTTATTCGTTAGATTTTCCAGGAAGTTCGTATATATCCCTAGGAGAATGCGCAAGGCCCAAATTTATGCACGAAGGCGGACCCAGGTGTGAGCGATAAAACGCCACACACCCCGCACCCACTCCGATCAAAAGAAATCCCACAGCGCAATTCTTAAGATACTTGAGGACAATGGAAATAAAATTTTTCAAGTCGATTTCCTATCGCTTTGCTTTCTTCGATCATTTATAGCGCTGCTTCTCATAATATTTGTCTGGCGCAGCTACTCACTATTTTTTTTATTATTGGATGTTCGAAATCGATGCAATAAATCAGCAGAGAAGATAAATGATGGAACTCGTTTAAATTATCAACGCGATGGACTACTTCTATCAGATTTTATAAATTTGGGAAAGGTCTATCTCTATTTTTTCCATTTTGTTTCAGAAAAGACAAAAGTACTACAATGGAAGAATGAACACGAAGAAACGAGAGTGCTAACTTGTAGTCGAGGTATATCCTTGTGATGACTATCATCGTCGTCAATCATCATCGTCACAAATTAAAGTCCGCCGAGCTTCGCGCGCGCGCGTTCCTTCATGAGATTTTTTTCCTGCATTTTCTTCAGCAAGGCTTGCTGCAACGATGGTTTTTTCTCTTCAGTTGCTGGCTTTTTTCCGCTGGGGTTTTCGTCTACTTCCATCGGGTCATCTTGCGCATCATCCGGAAGGAGCTACTGTTAGACGCAGACTTATCATTTTAGTCGCCTACTTTTTTACTAGGAACAGCACGAGGCAGGTCCAGACCCTTGCTACCAACAGAAAGACGAAGGTGACCAGATGGAGGCTGGTTCTCCCTATAAAATGATAAGAAGCTAAACCCTCCCAAAATACATGCTGAGAAGACACAGACAAATAATATATCACGCTCCGCCATAATTTTCCGCGTCTGGCTTCTTCTCGCCCTCCATGTTGGCATCTTCTTCCTCCTCTCCTTCTTTCTTCTCTTCTGCATTCTCCTTTTGTTCTTTCGTGTTTTCTTCTTTCGTCTCTTTTTTGTCCATATCTTCGGCCTTCTTTTCTTCTTCTTTATTCTCTTCTTCTTTATTCTCTTCTTCCTTCATTTCTTCAGAGTGGACCTTTCGCCTCTTGTTAGAACAAGAAGCAAAAGGCTCGCACGTATTTTTTCCGATCGTGATACTTAATCCTCGCAAGGATGCGGGCATATCTTTAGCATCTTCATGGCCGTGGTCGAAAGATACCTGGAAATGTGAGAAAAGTCCAAATATACAAAATCGGGAACAATCTCAACAAAGCAACGAAGAAAGGGAGTTGAACTTACTATAAAACAAAATAAATAAAAGCTGCAAGCAACCTACGTACTTACTGAGAAGAAAGAAAGTACGAAGCTAATACCTTGACGTTGGTGGCCAACTTCTTGAGCACCCTCAGAGGCCACTGACGCAAATTCACGAGATCCAACTTGTCCGCTATTTGGTCTTGCCATTTAGCCTTGGTCGGGAATCTGCACCCGATGATGGACCCAACTTCAATCTCGCCCCAGTCTTCAATCTGTTAAAGGATCATTTTGGATGGCTCTTCTCACTTCTTACGTTTCAAGGAAGAAGACGCAGCCCAGCGCGGTCGACTGACCTAAGAGAAGCTGAGCGGATTCCATTTCCAACTAATTTGCATTAATTTCAACTAATTTAAACTAATTCCAACTAATTCCAACTAATTCCGACTAATTTGAACTAATTCCAACTATTTTGAACTTATTCCATCTAGATCAACTTAGCGAGGTTTTTAAGTACTTGCGCGTGGTTCTTCTCCGATTTTCGCTTCTTGTTTGGCGTCGCCTTCGCTTTGCTGCTTGTGTTCTCCTGATCCGAATCGCTAGAAATATTCACTACATCCGCTTCTTTCGACTTCTTCTTTGCTGCTCCTTTCTTGTTCTTCGCCTTCTCTTCTTTCTCCTTGGCCTTCTCTGCTTTCTCCATTTCCTTCTGTTCTTTTTCCTTGGCCTTCTCTTCTTTCTCCTTTTCTTTCTCAGCTCTCTTCCTAGCCTTCTCAGCAGCTTCCTCCTCCTTCTTTCTCTCAGCTAACTCCGCGTCCCGAGCAGCTTGGAGCGGTTCGTATATATTTTTTGCGGTCTCATAGTCGGCTTTGGCTTGCTCATAATCTGAAGAGAGAGATACTTTTGAAGAGATATTTTCTCATAATCTGACGAAGTCAATTCTAAAATCATAAATAGCTTTATCCTGGAGAACGAACTAGCGCCGAAGCCTAGCACCTACGAAATCCTAAAGTTTCCCACAACATCGAAAAACAAACACGGCACTTAGTACCTCCTTCAACTTTCAAGTGCGACTCGGTTGTTTCTTGCGCTAGTTGCCTTGCCTCTTTCTCCAGGCTCTCTAATCGTTGTTTTTCATCAGCGTAGGAGTCTGCGGCGTCCCTCATTCTGGATTCGTAGTTTTGTTTATTTTGCTGGGTCAGGATCGACATCTGGTGCAACTTGGAACAAATATTAGAGACGCGAGCGATGAAGTAAGACGCCAGTAATTATTACGAGAACCTGCGTCACGATCCCTGAAGTATGGGATAAACTACAACGAAGCAAAATAATACACAACCAGCCATAATCTTCTCGTGACCGTCAGGCAGCGCAAAGTAGTTCGCTGTTTGTTCTTAGTGGAGGACTCTGCGCTTCCTTTTGTCCCGCTCGTTTTTCAATGAACTTCTTATATACTCACACCCATGAAAATAAAAACAAGCGGGAACGGAAGCGCTTCAAGGACCCTTCGCGCCTTAATCAGCAGAAATCTGCTGGATGCCTTTCTGGTAAGCTTCTTGGCACGCCTTCACCTCCTCTGCCTGCTCCGTCTCAAGCTTCTCCAGATATTGCACTTGTTTTGCATGATACTCCTCCGCGACCTCCTGTTCCATCAACTTCTGCAAGACTTAGAATCAAACTTGTCCACACCGAGAAGAATAAATATCAAATAAAAATCTAAAAGGTTAGGGCTTTCAGCATACAGATTCAGCTCGATGTGCTTGATCATTTTTGCATGAAACGCATAATTTCTCAAGTTGTCGGTGGCGTCTTTAACTCCCAAGGTAGCTTCGAACCGTTCACGCGCATCCTCTAATTCTTTCAGCTTCTTCCTCTCTTCGCTTTCTCGACGTTCCTCCTCGTAGCGCTTGTGTTTCGTTAGAGCCGATCTTTCAGATAATAGGGGATTACTATTAGTTAGGAGTTTTAAAGTCAGGGAATACGTCAAGGAGCCTCAATCCTGACCATATACCAACCAAGACGAGAACATCAACGAGCGATAGGATAGGACGTATCAACAACAGATGAAAAGGAAAAACCAAGAGAATAAAGACCAAGAGGGATGTAAGAATAGAAGCGAGACTAATACAAAAAGAGGAGCGGGGAATGAAGGAAAAACCCAAAAATAACAAGTAGCCTGGGAAACGAAATCGACTAGAGTGCAGAGCTTTCAGATAAAGAGCCCTAAAGCTTCCTCCTCCTCCTTTCTTTTCTCCTCCCGCCGCTTCCGCGATTCCGCCAGATACTTTAAGAAGCCGCTTAAGGCTCCATTTGTCGTCTTTATTTTCTGGATCATGCCCTGAGTTAGGTGCATGTTTAACGCGGCTTCGTCGACGCTACTGATCTTGTCGGAGTAAAATTGCTCCATCGCCTCAAAGCTCAGGGAAGCGGTTGCCTCATTATGTACGAACATCTTGCGCCAACTCTCTGGGGCTTGGTCGCCAGCGAGAGCGCAGTACATGTCCTTCGCCAGTGCCGTCCCGCTAGCGTTGAAGACTTCAAAACGTTAGAGAATTCACTAGAATACTAAAGACGACGCCAAGCGTGGCGGAGTTATTTCAAACTAATTCAAATTAATGAGAATTAAGCCCAATTAGTTCAAACGGCTGCGAATTCCTTTCCTCTACCTTGAAAGTATAGAAATCAGCCCAAAGAGTGATCGATAAAGATCCCGCCAACAAGAGACCCGGGAAATCGAAGACATCAAGATCAAAATTTTCGAGCATGATAAAGCACGACGACAAACGTCCGCCTATCTATCAGCTTAGTTTTTTGATGAAGAGTTTTGAAACCGCCAGCCATAAACTGAAAGGCGCCGAGCAAAATCGAACATAGCAGCAATCACTGGATCTCCCTTGCCCACTTCCTTCGAGATGGATGAGAGACACACGCCCAGATGCGGGTGTCTTAGTTCCAGAAAATATTCCTTCAATGGAAACGCGATCTCACCTGAAGGTAGGAGGCTCGTTTTAGTATCTCACTCTAGAGCAGGTAAAAGCTAAACGGCTGCGTTATCTACTGGCTTGCTCGTCGATGGACGTAAGCCCCAACATTATGGAAAAGAAGAGCCCACTCTAGATCTGCAACGCGAAACACCTCAGAGCCACTAAGCTCCACGAAGGTCCGAACTAAAAAGCAAACGAAGTACCTCTTTTCGATGGCGCTACCATCTCCGCGAAAGTCGATGGTTGCATCATTTCCTGAATGAAGCGCGCGTTCACTAACGGACATGGAAGATTATTGTGCTCCTCTTGGAGCATTGAAGCCACCTCTTCCTTTTCTTCTGGACTGGACCGCAAGAACCAGCAATAGATTTCTCGCGGTCCAGCCTCGCACGCCAAGGCAAAGCTTCGAAGATTTACCTGCGAGAAGTTTGAAGATGGAAAATTAAAGCAGTAGCGATAGCCACGACGAACGACGAGGGTGAACAGCTGCCAAATAAAGCACACAACGCAACACAAAGAAACGAGGCACACAGGCTCCCACGATAGTCAACGAGTAAGCTCCTAGAAATCCAAAGGAAGTACTGGCAGTTGTTCAGCTTCGTCCCTGATGACCTTCCTCAATTGGTCAGCGCTATCAGGCTCGTCGAAGATACTCGTGCACGAAATCAAATCTGCGTAGAGGCTCTTGATGGCTGTTTTTACCGGCCCCCATTTGACGGCAACAATTGTTTTTTGGTAAAATCCACTAAATTGGAGCTTCTGCACGTCCTTCATGGTCATGACCTGCGAGGGTTTTCGAAATTCATGAAAGTCGACGACGCGAAGGAACAGCGAAGCTTTAACTGTTACGAAAACAGAAACAAAAGATCACAGCACTGAAGTCATCAAGTAAGTACCTGGGTCTTCTTCCTGATGACCTTCAGCCCGCCGGTCATGTCATGCGCAACTTCGTCGACGAACACCCATCGCTTTCGAAGCTGCTTGTAAGCGTTCTCGTCCTTTTTCATCAAGTGGACTATCGCCAATAAGGAACCAGGCGCGCCTTTTCCGTACCAATCCTCACCATCGCCTTCTTTTGCATCCGGGATTATTAGACTCAAGGAATCTATCTGCCATCTTCCTAGTTCTAATCCCCTTTCCGTTTTACACTTAAAAACAGGCTCCAGATGTGCTAAAATATTTTTAAAAAAAATTTCTCAGAATGAATTAGCTTCGCCTTAGCTTCAACTTAAAGCCCGAACCTTCTTCGCCTTCTGCTTCAGTTTTATCTCCCGGGTTATCTTCCTCCTCCGACGCTTGCATCTCGAGGATCTCCTTCATTTCCGCCTCCTTTTCCTTGTGGATGGCAACGAACCGATCCACTATCTTCTCCAAATGTTTCTGGAAGTACCGAGTTACGTCGTTCACTTGCACTTTTCCCGAAACAGCGCAAATTCTTTGAGTTTAGAGGTAGGGCCTTGATGCTCGTTTCTACCGCATGTTATGCGCGTCCTCCCCCTTAGGAGATCCATAACAAGCAGCAACTCAAGCAGTTCCAGCCTCGCCTTAAGAAACTACCCCCTGGGAGAGGCTTTCGAGGTAGACATCTGGGCAGCTGTCGACCAACGTCTCCAGCGTTATAGAAGCTTGGAAAAGTTGGTTGCCAGCTACCTCCTCGCCAAAATTACTCAGGAAAATTTCCAACGCATTTAGCTGAAAGAAGATGATAGAAGAAGGATAGAACGAAGCCAGCACGTCTAGAGGTAGATCACCACTGGAGAAAAGCACTGTCTTTCATCAAGAATAAAATTCAAAAAACATTGACGGAAGATGATTGAAAAAAGAAATATGTGAACCCAATGAGATAAGTAGTACGTCCTCGTCTGCTTCTTCCTCTTGTTCTTCTGAGACAACCAACGAATTCGCACCCTTCACGCTTGAACTGTTAGACTTCGCGCTTTCGTTTTTCTTCAGACCTATAGCAGAAAACGAAGGGGATGCAACTTATGAGAGTTGGACTATTCACGTCAGTAAAAGATAATATGAAAAGTATATGATTCGGATAAATCCCGCGTCTGCGTCCTAAAGAGAAAGATACACAAAGCCAAAGACAAAGTTACCAAGTCCAAGAGTCTCCACATAATTGGAGACCTCTCCAGTTGACGCAGTCATCATGTTTGGCGTGTCGACCTTGATGTCTTCCAGCGCACCCGCTGGAGGCGGCGGCGGCGGTTCCTGCTCGCTATCCATCAAAGCCGCGCGGTTCCCGTCATCGTCGCAGATCAATATTAGAGTGCTCTACATTATAAACCTACACTCTCAACGCCTATAATCACCCCGAACGTCGAGGGATGCACGTCGTGGGCACTTACTAACCTCATCCCTCTCCTACGCTAACACTTTCGCCCATAACATCAACGACCCCGATCCCATTCCTCCGCGAATTGTCGTCATGTTTCTGGAGACTGTGTCGCGAACTTTGGCACCCCGGAACGGGAAGGGGCATTCGGTTTGAAACGCGTACCATTCGTTATGAGGGAATTCGTTGAGGAACCTGAATAAAAAAAAAAATTTCCCTTCGACGTAGAAGTTGAGAAGAAAGCGAGCGATTGCATAAATTATCCAATATAAATAATTAAACAAAAAACAAAAAATAAGTACTCCGAAGGCACTTCCGCAGGGTCCTTCACCTGGTACTTTCTTGAAAATTCCGCGAACGAGGATCGATCCGGTCCGTGAGTCACTGCCTTCCTCGGGAAGAAACTCCATCGCTCAGTTGTGACGCTTTCCTTCGTGTTTCTGCTCGCGCAAATTGATTCAATCGAGGCCAGAAGCGCATCCGTCATCCTCTGGGATCTGAGTCGTAAGATTAGAAGTAGGCTTTTGGCGCTTGCTCACCCCGCTATTTATGCCTCGCTGCTTCCTTTATTAAAAGAGAGGCATAAAAAGCGGTAAGAAAAGCACCTTTACCCCGCCCTTAATAATACTTTCTGCCCTGTCGCAAACCACTTTTCTGCTTGTAGTGGCGCTCCTCCTCCACCTCCTCGGAACGTTGCGGCGATTGCTCCAACGCTCGACTGCAGCCCTGGGGTCTTCCCGCGCATCGCTTGCCTCCCTTTCTTCACATCATCAGCCGTCACAATTTTTTAGAAAAGAAAAAGTTCAAAAGTCTTGCTGTACCCAGCGAAAGCTGTTACTTTTTGTTTTTGTTGGAAGGGCTAACTCTCTAGATGTAGAGACTTGCAAGACTCACCACGCACAGCTTTTTCGTTTTCTCTTAATGTAACTCAACTACTTACCTCATCAGCTAGCAACTACTTGAGTTGCTGGGCCGTATAAAGCTAGCTGATAGATATATCTGAGGCGCAAGCGCACAAGCCATAATATTCCCAGTTTTCCCTGAGGGCTTCCTCCACCTTTTGCACGAGCTCTGCGGCGTCTGCAATGGGCGCCAGGGGAAGCGAAGTAGACGACGAAGATGCCATTTTGATGGAAAATTTATACCCGAAGATATAAAAAAAAGCTAGTTAATTTCAACTAATCTTAGCTAATTATAACTAATTTCAGCTAATTACAACTAATTCACCAATTATCGATAATTAGTCCAAATTAGTTCAAATTAGTTCAAATTAGTTCAAATTAGTTCAAATTAGTTCAAATTAGTTCAAATTAGTTAAGGCGTATTTTCTGTAAATGTTCAAATTAATTCAAATTAGTTCAAATTAGATCAAGCGCATTTTCTGTAAATATTCTAAAACGAAAGCAGGCTTTTAGTAATCTTGTGGGCCTCAGATAGTCAGACTTCTTATATTACACGATAAAACAAGACTCAGTCTCTCAATGAAATGACTTCAGAAACAGAGCGAGCGTCTATTGCTTGAAAAAGAAACAGCTTTGCTAATGATGAGAATGCTAGGTGGTGACCAGAAGAGAGACTAGCAGGCACCCCTCAGTACAAATATAGTTTTTACACGAGCTGGCTTCGAGGTTAGTAGCTTAGATATCTTTTGGAGGTATGGTGTACCTAACTAATTTTTTCTTGAGTCTTCTTTTTATTCTGAGCGATTATTACTGTTGAAATTGAAAGAAAAGTAAACTAACAGACACGACGATACTTAATCCAAGATTTTCAGATTTGAGACGGAGCGAAATAATGATAGCAAGTTTTTACTTTTAACGTGAAAGTGTTTAGGTAAGCTAACAGCTTCTCTATATCCTTTCTCTGGAGGCGGTTGGGTGGAAGTTGATTGATGAAAGGTTCCTTACATTCCAGCGAAGTCCTTCCGTTACTTACTGACTTACCGCGCGAAGTAATGGATTGAATTCCTGAGCTTCGTACTGAATAGAAAGCGACTTGATTCGTACTGAATAGAAAGCGACTTGATCTACAATGAGAAGCCACACGCTTCATGTTCGACGAGCACCAGTGGATCAGTCAATGCAATCTTTATCAAAAACTTCACCAACGACAGACAGGCACCATTTGACGGCCAAAAAATTTTGATTCTGACTTTCTGAAAATGAAAAAGAAAAGACGGAAGGGAATGGCAAGGAGAATGATCTCGAGAACAGACAGACACTGACAGATTTCTCTTCAGACAGACGCCAGACGTCGGCTTTCTACTTCTTCGGTCCGAACTATTTTGAAAACAGAGCCGGATGTTCTTAATAAAAACAATAAGAGTGGACACATCTCCAGATCTTTCACTTCAACCTTTCAGACGTTCGATGAAAAGAATAAGCATCATTTTTTCACTTTGATCCATTCCGTTTTTGTTGGACTTCAAACAACTGAACACACAGCCACAGCTTAACTTTTCTTTTTCTTCTACCGTTCTTGCTATTCTTTCATCTACCAACACTTTTTCGGCTACAGTTCATTTCTCGCCATTTCTCATCATCCACCGTTCTTGCCATTCTTTCGCGAACCAAAAAAAACGCAGACTACTCCTGAAGCAGCACTTAAACACATAACAAGAATAAACTCCGGCACTGTTGGACTTGCTCTTACATACTCGACTCAAATAATCACCGAACCCAAGGAGAAAAAAATACGATCTTACTCATAAGCAGCGCGCGTGTTTGCTGTTATTGGAAAACCATCGAACTTCCGTGGGAATGATAAAAATTACTACGAAACTAAGCCCTTGCTGAATCATGACGAAAATAGTTACTAAATAAAAACGCACTGGCTAACAAACGTTTCTAAATTTTCAAAAATCACGAATGATCCCAGTCGTCGACTACACAGCTAGGCGAATCCCTGAAAACTTCATACGCCCTGAGATATCGGCTCCCCCCGCGCAGCCAGCTCCTGCTCGATTTCTTTTGAGCTTAGAGAATCGCCATAAGCTCTACCTTGGTTCTCAGGCCTTCCCTGTCAGAAGACCAAAGTCCCTACCTTGCGCTCTGTCTCTGCCTTAAGATTCGGAACGGATGCCGCGCCTCCTCTTCTTAAGAGGTCCCAAGGCTTTCAGTTTCATCGTCTTCCCTCTCCTTTTGTCCTAAATCTAATGCAGACGAAAGAGCTACATAGAAAGAAACTGAAGTAAGCCAACTCATCATAAGGTAGGCCCGACGCATATCCATACACCTTCCGAAGCTGCGCGGATTTCATTCCAGAAATTAGCTCGCGAAGCTTCTTGCGATGGGCTTCCACCGCGTTCACCCGAAGCCTCCTGGCCGTCCAGTAGTCCCTTGCTTTCTCAGTCCTCTAAGGTTAGAACATTCCTAACGAGTGCCAGACGATCAAGCGCATGCGCTACTCTTGAAAGCTTGCCACCTACTCCCTTAGCACATAACAAGAGATCCAACCCCGCAAGAAAACGTACGCGCCATCTCTCCCACCTACCAGCTCCGGGATTACTTGTTTCTGCCAAGATTAAAGCCGAACACGGAAAACGCTGGAAGTAGCGACGCTCACATTCTAACTACTTCCTTAGTAGTGTCGAAGAA